GTGAATATCTGGTGAGGAGTCAGAGTCAAGAGGCACCTGGAGTGTAGGCAAAGAGCCTGACAGCCTGTGTGGCTCCCAGACTTGGTGTCTTCAGTCACAGATACCTGAGATGCCACGAAGTCAAGAGTTTTTGTGGGCATGGGCACTAAGGGATGGGCTCCCTACTTCTGTCACCCTTTGAGTGTGACTCCAACAGAATGAGTAAGAGCCTTGGCAGGCCCATCCTGCAGGCTAGGGCTAGGTTACTCGGACAGACAGGTACTGTCTGTATCCTCTGCTTACCTAATTCACTTCCTTTCCACATCCTTTTGCTTTTTTCTCTGTTCTGCTGCACTTCTCATGAGCTTGTGATGATAAGGCAGTTTCTTATTTAAAGACACTGAGATAAATTCTTTTTTTGTTCCAGAAATATATAATTTTAATCAATATTTTATCGTTTGAAAAGAGAGAAAATCCTTTCTTTTTAAACAATAAAATTTATTTTTTAAACAACAAAGAAGTAAGGATTCCTCATTTAGTGAGGTTTTTTTTTAGTTCTGTCCAGCATACATGGTGAACTGTTAGCTGTGGCTTCTTCAGACATTGAGACAAGAGATCTCAGATTTGGTCTATACAGGACTGGTTTTGCACAGTATCAAAATAACTGAGCTTTAACCTTATGGTCAAATTTTACTGGAATATTGCTGTGCTGTAACTAGCTTTCTTGCTTTGATGGTTGAAGTGGAGAGGATCTGGAGTCCTCCCTAAATGAGCAAGTGGTAGGCTGATAAACCAGTTCAGTAACCAGCTTCCCAAACCCAGATTCCTCCTGCAGTGTTTAAGTTGACTATAAAATATTTTAAATGACATTTAGAATCCTTCTCCAATCAAACGGGTGTCCCACTGAGATAACTTATTTCCACCAAAACAAAGCCACCTCTCACCTTTCCACTTACCTTAAAAAACAACTTATTCACAATCAAAGAAGTTGGAAAGATTACAGATAGTGATTGCTTTAAGCAGGATGAACACTGCAAGGAAACCAATTCTAACGCTGACTTCTGCTTGTATTACTCCCACGTAATAGATGATTTACACTACAAAGTTTGGCCTTCCATTACTAATTTTCCCCCCAAATAAATAGCTATGACAGCACTTCTTCCTTATACTACTGCCATATTTCTATTGGTAGCTTGCCATTGCCACTGATGAAAATGTCAAATGGTCTCCTTTAGCTAATTAATCATGTCATTACCTAAACTAGCTCTCAAGGACAGAGCTGACCACAGGGAAAGTCCATCAAATCAAGCAGTGTTTGCCTTGACAAGGGGGCTGGAGAGAAGCTGGTGTAAAGGTCACAGCTTCTTCTCAGTGTTTATTTCTAAGCAGCCCAGTCAGTCAGTCTGTGGTTACAGCACACTGGGTCAAGTTGTTTTGCTTTCCTGTCTTTGCAAGTAAGACACTGAAGGTGACAGGCCCTCAGGGAACGAGCCACCATGTTCCACATCAGCTGGCTGAAGAAGTTCCTGCTTTATGGGCAGGAGGCCTGGAAGCAGACCCACAGGAGAAACCACTAGTGAAAGAGCTGTTTGGAGTCAGAGAATTCAAGCTAGCTCTGCATGGCATAAAAAACATAAACGTAATTTTAAAAGCCCCAACAACTGCCCAAGTCTGTGTGTGTGAGAAGGAGTGGGTATCTTGGGACTGACGAGAATTGGTTCTGTGCACTGGTCACAGCGAAGCAAGGGACAGCCTGTCCCTTAGAGCAAGTTAACAGGTTAAGGAATAGCTGAATGGCCCAATTGGAAAGATGTGAATACTAGAATGATATTCATAGTAGTAACCAATATAAATTACATACCAGAAACCATCAAAGGCTGATGCAGGAAGCTCACAGAGATGACATACCAGCAGCAAAACAAAATTCTGATGACTCTGAGTGGTCTGATGGAGATTTACACAGAATTCTTTTTGTGGCTTTCTGCCTTTTCTGCACTGGTTATAAAGGCTTTCTCACCAAGGGTGAGAAGCAAGAAGCCTGATGCTGCTAAGGGACAGGAGTGCTCAAGGTGCACATCCTGGATATGGGATGGCTGGCAGAGTATAAAGCCATACCAGAAAATCAGATAGATTTTGCAAGGATTCTCAGTAGGTGAGTTCAAATGATCACATTACTGGGACCATTCTTCGTGGGCAGCATCAGGGCATCTGTCTCAAGACTGGCATGTCAGTAAAGGAGACAGAATAAATTCACTAAAATGAGCAGTAATACATTTTCAGGATCAAGAACTTGTGCAAAATTTTCAGTGCTGTCAAGGATCAACCAGGTAATTTTTAAATTGTGATGTACAATTTTTCTCATGAAACATGATATTAGATAATTGGAGGTAGCTAATTTGATGCCAGTTTCTCGAGTTTCAGGAGATAGCTAGAGAACATATGGACCAAGAAACTTTCTATCTTCACTGGCCAAGTTGGCAAGAGCTGTAATGCAAACCCAAGAGATGAACATATTAGGAAGGAATCAACAAAGTTTCGGTAAACAGACATAATTCTTCACAAATTCATTACTTCTTTGAAGTATTCAACAACCCTGAGGACACAGGCAATCTATCTTACATAGTTTACTTTAAATTCAGAAGAGATTTTAGCACATGCCTTTCAAAGGGTCTTAGAGGATATAATCTGAGGGGATAAACAGGAAGGTCCTTGAATGGATAAGCAGTTAAAAGATAGAACAAACAAGGCTATGCAGAAATTATTGTGGTTTACAGTGGAAAAGATTATGAATGCTTAGTTTAAGCAATTCAATATATTTCTAAATGACATGGGGAAAGTAGACAAGTTGGCAGATTACATTTTGTGATGCTACTAAGAATACTAAAGACAAAGACCAAAGAAGAAGGACTCCATTCCAGCGGAAAAAACCCCAGCAGATAAAATTCAGTTCTGATAGATGGAAAATAAGGCACAAGGAGAAAACCCAGTCCTAATAACGTTTATAGTGATGGGCTCTGAGCTTATTAGTACCATTCACAAATGCTATTTTTATACTAGGCCACAGAATATCTGGCACAATGCTAAGCAGCAGTCAAAAAAAATATGTTGATTACACTGAATTATTTAAGAGCGGAACGAAAGACAATGCATTATTCCACTGTATGCCGCTGTGGTGTCCCAGTATCTCAACAAGTACTTGAAGTTATACTGCACCTATTTCATAAAGGCTACAGTGAAATTAGAAAACATGCAGACAGTAACAAGGATAATTGAAAGTATGGACAAGATTTCATATGTGGAATTACTAAATAGCTTAGGATGGTCTTGGCTGGAAAAGAGAAGGCTGAGGACAGAGCATGACATATCTATTTATCTATAAAACCAGTGGCCTGGATTTGGTGAATAGGTTTTGAATCCAGTATGATAATTAGAAGGCAGAAGTAGCAGGAGAAAAATAAATGCATTCCTCTGACAGCATATAGTTAAACTGCCACATTTAAGGCAGGATTTTGTGGAAGGTGTGATTTTATGAGAGTGGGAAAAGTGACTGGGAGAAGTAATTGAAGGAGAAAACAAATCTACTGAAGGCTATATAGCTATAAACTATGAAGACTATTAAATATAAAGTTTGGGATTCCACAGACACCAGCATAATGAAGTCTTGAAAGAACTCGTGGGAAGTAGCACCATACACTCATTTATACTTTTTCCCAGCACCCCTCCCAGGCAGGTAGGGGAGGGGATGGTACAAAGTTGTCCCCTCACCTCTGCTCCTGTGCACTGAGGAAGAGGCCAGGAATGCCTACACAACCTGGTCACAAACAAACATGACTATTGTAACACAATGAAGACTGAAATCTTCTGTTAGAAAAAGTGCAGACTGTGCTAATACAGACCCCTAGCAAGGGCCAGGAAGTCGTGCAGGGGTCACCTTAGGTATCTGTCCTGCACACAGATCTTATTTACTTCTGTGATGCCAATGGCTGTTGGGATCTATGTATGTATACTAGGAGAGAGACGGGTTTTTCACTGCGTACTTTGTGCAACCATTCTTGGAATATCACATTCATGTTTTTAAAGAAGGATGTTAATTAAAATGGAAAGTTTAATTGCACATGCAAAGCACTGCAAAGTGGTTTGGGATGTTGTGTGTTTCACAGCTCTGTGTCAGAAGTGTTCTGGGGAAAATTATGAAGTGTCTCAACTCCCTCTGGCATTGACCCACAGGCCAGCTGTATGTGTAGTCACAGCTGCATCAGTGACAATACACAGGAAAAGCCAGGAGCAACACAGCCTGAGGATGGTAACTGTACCAACTGTGCATCTCTATGTCCCTCAGCTTGTTTCAGTGAGCAAATTCCCTCAGTCTACTCCTGTTAGTGTACTGCTTTGGATAGCCACCCCTCCTCTTAGTAATTCTTGTCTTTGGAATTACATCAGGGACAATAATGATAATTTGAGGGAGGTTGTTAACTACCCTCAAGTACAAAAATAATTTTTGAAAACACTAGCAGTCAAACAGCTCAGATAATGGTTTTCAATAAGAGTTTTGTAGTTCAACTGGTCTCCTAGGGGGTAAAAATTCCAGCTGCATAAATGTGAATGTTAGTTGTCCTGCTTTTAGGACCTGTATGGGTAAGAGGAAAATACTATTTCTCTTGGCAATACAGAGTTAATACTGCTAAACACTGAGTTGTCTTTAGAACTGACTACTCATTTCCAATAAACCACAATGAGACAAAGCAGACACAGGAACAGGAATTTCATGAATAGCCTCAGATTTGCAATTTGAGCTTGGGGAACTTGGATGACAAGTATAGTTTTATATGAAAACAGACCTTAGTCTAACTTAGAATATGAGGATAGGTTCAGAGAGCTGGAACTGAAACCACACTACCATTTCTGCTGAGCTCGACTACGCTCAAATCACAGAGGTCACATCAAGTGACACGAACTAAAAAAGCTAAATAATCAGATTAAAAGGCTGATCTGTTACAATTCTGTCCTTCATTTCTTCACAGGAAAAACCTGCTCATCTTAAAGGCAGTGCAATGGATTTACATATTAAGTGGCTTAATCAAGAATATATGAAAACTCAGAGGAACTGGGAAGAAGTGGATAACAGAATGAATGTGACAATAGAAATACGGAGAAAGATGATCAGCGATAAGACACCTTTAAAAGATATTCTTAGACTATTTCCTTTCTTACGATGCCCTTATCAGGTAACAGCGATTTTTAATAATGACATTGAATTCTGTGTTATAGATGTGATATATCTGTAAGCATGTATTTTACAGGATATTTCCACTGAAGTATCCATAAGCAATGTTCTCTTTAATCTAACTCATATTTTTGTAGCTAATCCCATTTTGAAAGCTTCATCAGTTCAATTCTGAGTTAAAGGTGCACACATACCACCAGTGTCACTGTTTGGTGTTATTTGATGTATTCCTTCCCTGCTTCGAAAAAAAATAAATCACCCTCTTGAGTTTATAATCTTATTTAACTGAGCTAGTTTCATCCTGTCTTCAAAGTGCATGCATTGTTTACAGTTTTGGTTTTGAGGTTTGCAATACCAAATACTTGTTTTTCTTTCAGCTTTTTAGGGAGTTCCAGCTTCTCACACATATGGACATTTATAAGAAAACAGTCGAGATATTGGAGATTTATTCAGAAAACATATTGTCCTTCTATGTGGTGAGGAATAATCCAATTAACATTATGCTGCAAGAAAATCTGAAGCAGTACACAGAGGAAGACGTTCTGAAATGTCAGTACAAATCTTCTGTGCTCTGAATATAAGAGTTTTGTTGTAGCTAATGGTTCTTACTTATGTAACTAAACTAGTTTCAGTTGTACTGCAAAACACATTTCAAAAATGTTATGGTTTCTTTGAAAATATATAGTGATGGTGAAGCATTGAGAATAAAAGCTACTAAATTAGGAGGAAAATTAAGTCAGTCAAGTATTGAAACTTTTTTTTCACTGAATAAAAGACTGCAGGTTTGATAAAGAAAGTAATTACCTTAAAATAACTATTTCTAGATGAGCAGAAGTATGTATTTCTAGATACATGAGAGCTTATTATTTTCTAAAAATACCCACAGAAAACTAATTTTCTGCTTTAGAAATAGCCCCATAAAGAAGGACGCAATTTCCTTTGAAAAGTAGGTTTCTATGGTTATAATCTTTACCCCAGCAAAATTAAAGAAGTAGTTCCCACTAACAGTTTCAGGCACCTCATCTCTGCAGAGACACACTGCAGGAAGAAGGGCACAGACTGGTTCCTCTGGTGAGGTCTCTGAACCTTGGCAGGTTTGGCTCCCTGGCTGTGGGAGGGCGAGCACCTGCTGACACTCAGCTTCTTTCTGGGCAGTGTGGAGCTGCAGGGACAAAACTTCTCAAGCAGTCACTCAGAATTGCCATTCCTCCCCAGCTGCCACTGCCTATGCCCAAGCTTAGCTCTCTGAGAAGTCCTCCTTAGACTCACTCTCTGTCAAACAGGCAATGCCAGGATGTCAATCCAAGGCCACATGATATGAACACATGTGTGTCCTATGGCAGTTTCACTCCATTTATTGCCAGGTCATCTTTGAAAGAAGCAAGCAGCATACGTTAAAATTCTGGGAGTTTCCTTCGCTAAGATTAAAAACAAAAGTACTCATGATAGATTAAAATTCTTCAAGGAATAGTCTAATCCAGACAGCCTTTCTTTTCATAGCTTTGGCCAAGGAAATCTATGGATATAGTAAGTAATTTCCCCTTTTCTTATAGACTATGTCCACAGATATTTTGATTCATACTTTAGTAAAGTCCCAAGGTCTTTACTTTTCTGTTTTTCTCGCACAAACTACTAGACCTGGCACCTAGGTATTAAATGCATGGCAAGGTAAGTTCAGTGAAACACATAAGTTTCACCAGAAGTCTGACCTGCAAAAAGACGTTATAGTCAATAACAGCTGAGCCAGAGGGATAGCAGGTACCAGCTGCCAGGAGGTTCTGCACCACCAGCTGGTACCACAACCTTCAAAGCAGAGTCCTGGCAACAGGACTCCCTGGACATCCAGTTTACTGGGGACAGAGGAGTGTGGGGAAGGGCGGTGGGGGCAGGAACACTACACAGCTCACAAACTCAACTAAAAGCAACCCAAAAGCACACTAACTTATTTATTGTGAGGAAAACTGAATCATAATTCTGTGGAGCAGAGTCTCATTAATTATTTGGACACTAATGTCCTTTACCAGCTGAGTTGCCTAAATATTGATTGTGGTACAAACTACTCTTCAAAGTGGACTGAACAACAGCTCCACTACTGAGCTGTTTACTATTACATAGCTGCAACCTATTCTTCTAGGATGATACTCCAGTGCCAGAAAGTTTTCCTTTGTAATTTAGTAGAAATCCTTGCCTTTGACAGACATGAAAATGACTGCTGCATGTTTACTCCTGCCAGAGGTCTTTGGAGATGATTCCAGTCTGTTTGCTGCAGTGAACGAGGAGGTAGGAGACAGAGCACCATCAGCCTTGGTCTTTCTTCCTTTTATCACCTGCCTATGCACATCACCTGGCCTTTTGGTGGCTCAGCTTGGTTCTGGGAAGCAGTCACATGAGACTGCGTTTTGAGTAGAAATACTCTTATAGAAATATTACCTAACTTCAAAGCAGTGTTATCAGGCTCTTAATTCATTCTCTGACCTGTTCACCGTAGCAATGCTGTGGCATCATTTGAAATGGCCTTTTTTTAAATTTAGGTAAAGGCAGTGACACCAGTGTTGGAAGTGAAAAATCCCTTCGACATGAATTCATGCGAGTTTGCCCTGTACATAGAAAGGGAAGAGTTAGCCCAGTTTGATGACTGCACCATGGCTCTGGCAGCTCTGCTGGCTGCATTTCATGTGTTTGATATCCCATTTCCAAAGAGAATCCACAGGACACTGAACTTCCTGGAGTCCCTGGTCTTTGAGGTGAGGAACCCAGCAACCCTGCCCACCCCGGTAAAGACAGGGCTGGAGGCACCCAAGCTTCCAGTACCTGATGGTGCAACCAGCACTCCTCTCAAGAGCATTTGATATTTTGTCAAAATAAATCCCATCGTGCCATTCTTTCTAGTGAAAGTGTATGTATATTTAAAAGTTATCTTTAGTAATGCCCTCCTTTTTTTATTGTACTGGCTACTTTAAAAAGTAAAATTAAAACTCCTGAAGTTTCATTCTTTTAAATGTAGATTTTAGAGCACTCTACAGATAATAAAATTTTCTAGATTACTTCATGTGTTATGTATTATTTTTTTATGTGGAGTATTTGAAAAATTCAGGTATTTTGTCTGTAAGAATTAAAAAAAAATTGTGAGCCAACATGAGCACTTCACTGCTTTAGATGTAATACAGTTAATGTTTTGAAATGGCACAAATTAAACATTTACTTATTAACATTACTTCATCATATTATGATTTCTGAGAGCCTTATATAATAATTTTTGTGGTTTAAAATAGTGGGCCTGATTTTTAATTTGCAGGATGATGACTTTTTACTGTTTTCTTCTTACATGAAATATTTTGTTTTACCATTAATGAGCCCTCAAAGTAGCAAGAATGATTTATCTGGGATGCTGCCATGTGCATTGGTAACCACAGCTTTGGTGCTGCAGAGGGAATGCCTCATTTTCTTTCTAAATTTGTTCCCTGGAACAAATCAGCTTTGTCCACATTGTGACTCTCTGTCTGCCCACACAGAGTGGAAGCTCTCTCCTCTCTTCTTCCACAGCCTTCTCTATTCCCCAAAACTCTAAACTCCTGCCTGAAAATCATATGGGATACTGTCTGGCAGTGCACGGCTTTGGTGCCATGGTGATAGGAACAGCAGCTGGGACCCATTGCATTAATTAGAAATAAAAACTGGCTTTTTATTAAAACACTACCTTCTATTAGAGAGCAATCAGTTCCAAAAATGACAGTGTAGGCAAAGTAGCACTTGTGGTCATGATGATTCTTTAAACACCCAAACACACAGCCTGGAAGATCACAGAAGCTTTGTTAAAGCTTGGCTGTGCAGAGTGACTCCAAGGCAGTGATTAGAGTGGGAGATCCTTCAGGATGAGAGGAGATGGCTGCATTTAATGGCCAAAGTCTTTTGCTATAGGCTTAGGATTTTTCACGTGGTTTCCATGGAATGCAGGGTACAACCTTTACCAGTGTGAGGGCTGGGCTACCACCAATCCAACACAAAAACCAATGCCATCTGCCATTTCAGAGATTCAGTAGGTCTGATGGGTGGTTTCAGTTTCCAAGTGAATTTGTTGGCTGTAGTTTTTATCATAAGGGTGGCTACACTCAGTTACCTCATCACATGGGATACAAAAGTAAGGATTATATATGTCCTCATTATTGTGTGTGATAGCTGTGTGAATAAAAAACTGGGCTCAAGTGGGGTTTATTCTATAGCTTCTAAACAGTATTAATTCAAATCCATTTCTTAAACCACAGTAATTTGTAAGTAGTTGTATATAAACATTCAGGGAGGTGTTAACATCCCCAAATAAGCTCTCTTGAGCTGCAAATCTCTCTGTTGGTTATCACTGCAGGCTATAGACCTGACTCACAAGACAAACACAGAGAGTAAAGGAAAATAAACTACATGGAAGGAAAGAATGAAAGAAAACAGAAGAATTTGGCGTTTTACTGACCTGCCTGTGCAACTTCGGCTGCTGCTGGTGACAAAGTCCAGGGCTATAAACGGCATTCTGATTGTAATGGCCAAGGGGATGTGAGCTTTGGGAGTAATTGTTAAGGGAGAGGGCACACAGCAGTAGGTAGTTAAGTTGCTTCTTTACAACTACTGGCCACACTGAGCTACAGTGAGGAATTACTTCGCACCACACCCATCAGGAGCAGCTGGGTTCAGCCGAGAGTCCTGGGCACACGCAAAGGTAACAGAGGCTCCAGTTCAGGTTTTATTTGTATTGTAGTACAATAAGAGTGCAATTTGAACGTACACATATTGAACAAAATGTAAAAATATTATTTATGCAATGCTATGGAAGGAAATTAACAGAACAATGCAACTTACTTAATACTGACCCTGTTTCGCCTCATATTATGGCAGGTACCAGTCACCTACATGATCTGGAAGGGATACAGAGGGTGAAAACTTAAGAACTCCAGCCAAAAAAAAGCCTAGCAAAGTCTGTGGGAAGATGTAAAATTCTCCCAGCTCCGTGCAATGGAAATGCTCTGTTTGTTCTCAGCTCTACAGCTGAGCAACTGCCCACTGCAGAACTAAACAGAGGGCTGCCAAAAAAACCCGATCCAACTCTTCAGTCTCTTCTTGCAAAGTAACATTCTGGAGCCATCCTCAGTATACAGGTAGCTAGGCTTTCTCCCATATAAAGTGCATCTGGTTTGCATCCTGCGTGTATATATACCAAGTGCAACGACTTTCCTTGACAAATCGTTAGGATAATCCTCCAAGAAAGGAGGTCGCCTCACCTCAGTACCTGCTGATGACATCTGCAGCCTGCTAATGACCTAGTGAATTGCGTGTATTTTGCACCTAGGATGCGCCCCTGCAATTTAAGTATCCTTTTCCCCTGCTTTGCCTTTACCCCTATGCCTTATTCATTTACAAATCAGAGTTTTCAGCTACAAAGTGTTGGGTAAAATACTTCTCCCACCACGGGAAAACAAACCTCTGTTGAATATGAAACCCGGGTAGCAGTCCTAGCCTGAGCATAGATTTTCTCCATTGTTGTGGTAACTATGCTGAAGACTGGGAAGTGCAGACATGATTGAAAGTAATTTCTTTTCTGCTAATCTCCTTGTCTCAAAATATTCCCATTTTCCTTCATGTTCTGAAGGACTGTAGCAGACTCCGTGTAAATGGCTGGGACTCTATTGTGCAGCATAAACAAAAAGTCTTCTATGAAGTCAAACTTTATTTTTCAGTTGCAGCCTTCTCTATACTGGTCTTTTGATAAAATACATTAAAGATGCTGGTGGCAAAACTCACGTAACATTTTTGTAATCGTGCAAAAGTAAAAACATTCAGTTATCAAAAAAGCATTATAATTTCAACCCCAACAAGGTTTCTTTTGTTACAAGCAAACAGACAGTTTTATTATCTGTAAAGTAATATGCTGTAGCATAAAGTGTCACATATGTAACATTAAGTGTTTCATTTTTAAACTATGGCACAAATACACATTAGCCATAACAGTCTCATCTGGCTACCTGTAGCCTAATTTTTGGCTGATCAGTTTTTATTTTGATAAAATGAAGTAAAAGCTTCTGAAAAGTAAAGTGGGTACATGAAGTACAATTCAAGAATCCTTAGAAAATATTAACGTTCCCTTATATAATACAGCATAAATAATTAATGAAGGTTTTCTTGATGTCCAGGGAGAGTTAGGGATCCTAACCATCCATGGAGAATTAGAGCCATTAGTTTGGTAAATAAGACCAGCTGACTCGGTTGTTACACAGCACCTTCTCAAAAGCTTGAACACTTCCCAGAAGGATTCAGATGTGTACTGGCTCCAGGAGAATATAAATAGTCCACCAGTGCTGAACTTGAGTTTCTTCCTTTCCAAGAGTCCTTACTCAACACTTCTAGTGAGTCTTTGTGCTTTGAATAAAACATGAGCTCCAGTGGAGAAAGCTGGTTCCTGCACATTTTCCATTATCTTCAAAGTTCATTGTGTGAGTTTTTCTCTGCAGCTTTGAACATCAGAATGGAATTAAAGATTTTTAGGGCTGGTCCCAGTTTAATGCTCATTATTTTGACTATGTCTGATTGAGTCATTAGCAGAAATGCTTCTCCATCAATTTGCTTTAAAAGAAAAACACACAAAGCTATTAATAGGTCTGACAGTGCAACAGTATAAACGTTTCAGAAAACATGAAAAGTTCCAGCAATTTCAGACAAAGTTAAGGACTGGCTGAATACAAGCACTTTCAAATGCTTTCAGGAGAGCCTTGATTTCAACCTTTAGATAGAGCAGCTAATCCAAGAGAACAGGATGATCTTTTTCCTGCTTGAAAACAACCGTCTGGCTAATTTTTAGCTAAACAGTTTCTTATTTTCATATTGACAATATAAAACATATTGAAAAATAAAGTGGGTAAATTAAGTATAATTCAACTATACTGAAGTACAGCAATGCTTTTATACATCTTAGCTATTCCTTCTATCCAAGCATCCATAGGAAAAGCTTCTGAATTTCACTCCCAACTACAGAGCTGGAATGCCCTTCAGGCTACCACTTCTCTGCTCACTAAATAGCAAACTGAAATGAATTTGATCCCAGATGAAAACAGGGGCCAGGCTAATAAAACTGCCTCTTTGACACAAACATAAGAGAACATTTCAAAACGTGGAATATTTTTTCTTCTTAGTGTTGGTATTTTACTATACATTACAAATGAACATTCTCCTGTAAGCAAATCAGTCTCTCAGCAGGAGTGCCAAATCTCAGGATGAGGAGCCCCCAGGGTCCTCCCTCCCAGGGGCTTCAATGGAGCCAACATTTCCTATGTAACCTTCAGATCACTTAGGTATCTATATGTAAACTTTCAGTAAGCTGGATAGCTACACGTAGAATGCGACTGTGGTTAAATCAGGAGCACTGCTTAGCCTTAAAGATATTAATCTGAGCTAAAACAGTCTAAATTTCTGTAGCGCTAAGAAACAAGTTTTCTGAATCAGACATGCTGCAAAAGACACCCCAGCACTCAAGCTGAGGAACAGTGCAGTCAGAACAGCACCATGTAGTAACCCACAATTACCTTCTACTCATTTTGTACACAAAGCCATAATTGCTGGGCTCAGAACTTCAAGTGTGCGAACTTGGGGCTGCCCAAATAAAAAGCTGACGCATCTTAACAGAAGCAGGATTCATTTCCATAGCAGAAGTTTGAACCAGTATCTACCTACTGATGTCAGCTAGTCCATGACTCAATGACCTCATTGGGGGAGGTTTAATTTACTAGTCACAGACAAAGCCTAAGAGGTTGAATCCTAGAGAAGGGAAGTATTTTCTCACACCTCTGAGAATGAAAGTGTTAAGGATTCAGCA